AGACTGATAATTTCTGGATAACTACAAATAAACAGAAATAGTAAACAATAAAGAAAATTTCGAGGATTCAACAGATCCCTCCCATTCATTATGTTGAACACCTTGCCATATGAAGGATCGGTAAAAACAGCTTCAATAGGAGCTTCTGCCAGGTTGCGAACTTTTTCGAGAGTTGTATCCGAGATCATAGAAAGCTTGTATTCCTTCTTAGTTTTACCAGCTTTTGCAGCCAATCTCATTTGAGGTTCAAGGTACTTCACAGCCTTACACAACAACAAATACATATTAGTTACACATTAATCAAAAAGAAATAAGAAAGAATTGCAGGTGTGTGAGTCACCTCCGGATGCGCTAGTCTCAAGCCAGCTTCTAAATCTTTCTCTGATATCTCACGAGCTTGCACGTCTATCATCAAAGTTTTGTCCTTCGTGCATGCATATACTAAGTTCAGGTCACTTAAATTGAGCTGCAAGATAGACATTTATAGTCCGTTAGCACGTCATCTAAGTTTCAAGTTCTTTTCTATTATTCGAAATATGAATGTCATCCTCCAAAACAAACAAAATATGCTGCATTAATAGAAGTAAGGAATATCACCAGTTTCGAGACAATCAGTACAACACCACAGGTATCGAGTTAAATAGCTAATGAGTTGACATCCATTATAAAAAAAAATTAATGAGTTGACATGAGCTGAAACAGCACGTTGCCAGAAAACCACAATCACCCTTTCTACTTTCTGCTGCATACCCACAATCCTTGGATTTCCAAAATTATATTTCCAAGAAATATGGATAGATGACAGCTATGATTGTTGAGATACTAGTTTGAAGTCGATAATCAAAATTCTCTAGATGATAGAAGTACAATGTGAGGGGAAAAATCCAAAGGGAGAGGGAAGTGTGCAACCCTGAAACGTCTAGAACAGGCAATTAGTTGATCATCAAGAGAATTTGCAATTGATGCAAGAAGCACCTCATCCGTGGTGGGATTAATGATGAACTCCCCACAAATCCTCCCTATGCGTATCACTCCGATAGGACCTCCCCAGGGAATATCTGATAACATAAGAGCAGCAGATGTTGCATTAGCTGCCATTACATCTGGATCTTGTTTCCCATCAGAAGAAAGAACGCTTGCCATTACCTATGCATTACGAAACATAATAAAGAGACAATGAGGACACAATTCCATGTAGACCTGAAGAACATTTGAGGATTAAAGAACAGATTTACCTGGACTTCGTGAAAAAACCCAGCAGGAAATAATGGCCTTATTGGTCTATCGATAAGTCGACCAACTAAAAGTTCACGCTCTTTAGGAGCACCCTCCCGTCGCGTATATGTTTTTGGGATCAGACCTTGGGCATAATGCTTCTCTTGATAATCAACCTTTAAGAGAAAATGACGAACATCATCACATGAACAGATGGAGCAAAAAATGCCACTTCCCTCTCAGTTATTGGAAAAAAAAAATCTGAATTATGCATAAGTACAGAAGAACTGCTAACAAGCTCCAACACTGGCAGGACAGGATGATTATGAACCACCAAGACCATAGAATCTCCTTTTCGTTTCTGGAGGCTACAAAAAGCCAGGTCATGGACTGATGCATTTTCTTTTTGCCAGTATTTAATTTGAGTTTACCACTAATAAGAGAAAGTACAATGGAAATCGTTTGTTTGACCAGCCAGTTAATGTTATGTAGTGCCTACCCCTCTGCGGCAAGTGACAAGCAAGACAAAAGAAGACCATCAGATGAGCATGACTTCTACAGAAGCCATTTCATCACCGCACAACTATGACACTGAATCATGACACATATTCACACAAGGGCGTGCGAATTGCCGAAAAAATATTATGCCCATAACAATTATTCAATCACAAACGAATCAAACCAAGCTCAACAAGGCATGCTGAGCTGTCGGTATCAACTTGAACATACAATGACAGGCCAAAATGCCCAAAACAAGCCATGTCCGTAGTAACATCTTCAAGACTACTTCTAGACGTAATATCTGAAAAGCACCTCATTCTCCCCCAAGCCCCAACTATCAAAGAATACGTCTTCACGGGCGTACATAATCGGAGAAATAGATAAAACACGCCAACGAGGGAAAACGATAAACAGTTAATTCGGAGAAAAAATAAATTGATCAAGCTAAGGAAAAAAACAATGCAAGCACGGCGCTTCACGTTGAGCTACAATCCATCCAAACAGGAAGCACCACGGAACTCACCGTGAGAGGCAAAAAGCTCGCAACGGCATCGCCCTTGGAGGACGCGACGGTGGACAGGACCTTGGTGTCTTCCATGCCCAGCACGACGGCCCCATTCGCGAACCGGGCGATCTTCCCGGTCTCGAGCGTGATCAGGCGCGAGCCGATCTCGAACTCCTCCCTGAAGCTCTCCAGGACCTTGGCACCAGCGGCGGGCGGCGGCGGCGGCGGCGGCTCGAGTTCGGGGTCGGACAGCGAAGAAGAGGAAGGGGAAGAGAAGGAGGCCAGGCCGAGGCGGCCACCGCAGATCGTGCGGAGGCGCAGGGACCGCCAGGCGAGGAGGTGAGGCTTCCTGGCTCTCGTCGCCATGGAAGCCATGGCCATTTCGGCGAGCGGGGGAGTGGGAGAAGGCGGTGGCGCGCGGTGGCCGTGGCGGTGGTGGCGGTGGCGGTGGCGGTGAGCGGTGGTTTAGGGTTTAAGGATTTTAGCGCCAGTTCCGGCCGGTCAGTGAGGAGTGAGGAGGGACGGGGGGGTAATGGAAATGAAGCCAGGGTTTAAGGGGAAACAATCTGGTGCGGATGTGCGCACTGCACGATCGTTCGTGTTCGCACGTGGTGCGAATTCATCTCCGATCTTACCGTTGCAAAACGTAATTTCTTTGAACGTATGGGAAAATGATATCGTGTCGAAAATTGTCGACCTTTTATCTCGCTAATCATGATATCATGTTGATATTTGTTATCATTTTCTTCCGACGGATGCTAAAAGTAAAAACATTAATCATAGGTGAATACATGTTCAATCCTATTACCTTACATCTTGAAAAGTAATACGTCTTTTATGGATCGATAGCCATGATAGAGATGGCAATTTTACCCTCCTCCCTCCCTCCCCCGCAAATAGATAAACGCATTTTCTTTTTTTAAATTTTGAATGGAATGAATAAGAGTCATTTGAAATGAATTTCGAGGTAGGAATGAAGTGGTTGGAGATGGATATGGTCGGTTTCGCCTCTCTACTCGGCAACCCGCTCCCCTCGGGGCAATCTTTTTCATATGACAAGGAACGCATATGTAATAACAATGCACACCAAAAAAAATTTCCCCCTCCCCTCCTTATTTACATAAATTTTTAAATTCTTTTTCCCCTCATTTTTCCAAAATTCTCAAACATAGTGAGTCTTTCATGACTTTGTATAATTCTTTCTTTGACAGCATATGGACCTTCTTCTTATGCTTTTTATTATTTCTTCTTGAAGATTTTTCAAATAAAGCCTTATCTTTCCTATTTAATTGCGAGAAAAGCCATTATGGAGAAATCTATCATTCTTTTCTATTTACGGTACTCGTAAGATAAAATTGCAAAAAGAGCCCTCCGATAGAGTCGAAACAAAAAGAATTAGCCTTTTTTATTTGTAAGGGTTAATACCAACAAAAATTCTCAAATTGGTATACTTGTTGCACATATACCTTAAACTAATTTTTGTGTCATAATATCCCGAATTGGTACACCCGTACCGCATTTACACAACACTGATGCACCTATGCTACATTTATCAAAACTAATTTTTACGTTACAAAAAAATCTCAATCTGGTACATCGGTATCACATTTATCCCAAACTGGTGCACACGTGTCACATTTACCCAAAAAAATCTCATATTTATCACAATTGGGGGTAAATGTGGTATATATATATTAGTTTGGAATAGATATGGCATGAGTATACCGATTTGAGATTTTTTATAACACAAAAATTAATTTAGGGTAAATGTGACATAATATATTGGTTTGAGAGTTTTAGTGACATAAAAAATTAGTTTGGAATAAATGCGATACGGATATACGAGTTCGAGGTTTTTTGTGGTAGTTCTTTCTTATGAGAAAATATCCAGTGGTATCGTACCACAACGTCACTGGCCTACGTGGCGCATATGATCCATTATTAAAAAAAGCGACACGTGTCCAAGCGACGCGGAAATTAAAAGACTAAAATTAAAAGGTTACAGGCTTGTCAGCGTTTCAGAAACAAAGTTACAATTTTTATCTCTCGTTTGTCAACGGAGGGAAAAAGCTGCGTTAGATGAAGGAACCCCAAGCCCAGCACCACCGGCCTCTTCCGCTTCCACTTCAAAATCGTTGGCGACGCGGTTTCTGAAGCCGGGGTCGGCAAGGCAACGACGGTGACAAGGGGGAAGGCGAAGGAGGAGGATGGAAGATCTCATTGCAGAAGAGAGTCTAAACATGAAAGGGGAGCCATCGTTGTTTTGTTACAGAGAGTGGAGAGAAGGGGAGAGAGAGAGAGATGGGCGATAAATGATCGCACTAAATGCGAGGTTGCGTAGAGTGGCTCCGTTTCTGCAAATGCGCCAGAGGAGACAGGAGAGAGAAAAGTGGCTTCCGATTTTAATTTCTTATGTCAAGTCGGATGACACCTGTTACATTTTGATTGAGTAGAGCCATGCAAAGCACAATCACGCCATGTGGGCCAGTAACGTAGTGGCACGATACCACGGAATACTTTCTCCTTTAGCTTTCTTACATATCCATAGCGAGTTACGGAATTCTCCACATCTCTAGTCAAGCTTCTCATTTTCTCCTCTTTTGAGCCATCCATTTGGGCCAACAAAATTGGCGGCCCATCCCGGCCCGGCCCATTAAGGGACCGCGTCTTGAAGGGCCCACAAGCGGAGTCGGGCCGGCCCGACATTGCCGTAGGTGGCACGTGGCGGCGGTCCATAACCGCCTACGAGAAATGTCGAAAGATGTTTAAGGGCGGGGACCCGAACGCAGGGTCCGCACTCTCTTCCCGTCCGGCGAGATTTATAAAGCCGAGAACTCAAAATCTCCGGGCAATGCTAATACCCAGGCTCCGATTGGGAAGCGCCATGGCCGGCGCGACCGTGTTGTTGTCGAAGATCCGATCGAGGTCCCCTGCCGTGAGCCCCTGCTTCTCGCTTGGCTCATCGAACGGTTCGGTTCCTCTCGGCGGCGGCGGCGGCGCCAGGGGCCGCGTTCGCTTCTCCGGCGGCTTCGCTCGCGTCTCGCTTCGGTGTTTCGCTTCTTCGCCCTCGTTCGATAGGATCCAGGTCAGGAATCCGATCGTCGAAATGGACGGTGAGTCAGACCTGCTGCGCGCTTTGCGAAAAGTCAACTCGTGTCGAGCGCAGAGCGGTGCGAGCCGTAGTGCTCTGCTTAGGAAGATTCGAAACCGATGTAAAATGGAAGGAGAAGTTACGAGAACATTGGTTTTTGTTTGGTGGGGCTGGTTTTGCCTGAACAGCTTCCCGAGTCTCTTGGTTTCTTCGTCCCTGGACGAGGAAAATGGATAGTAGTTTTTCTAGTAGCGATTTCGTTTTCTTTTTGAAGTTCATAACTCAACGTTCTTTTCTTTTTGATGTTTAGGTGATGAGATGACAAGGATCATTTGGAGCATGATTAAAGAAAAAGTATGAATTGATACATTTCAATGTATGTTCTTTTTTTTCTTTGGCTTGCTTGTTTAATGTGTCCTGGCCTGATGGTCTACATAATTGCAGCTTGTGTTCCCTTATCTGGATTTGGATATTAAATATTACGACTTGGGGATATTGAATCGGGATGCGACTGAGGACCGAGTCACTGTAGAAAGTGCGGAAGCTACTCTCAAGTAAGTAATGCGAACTGGGTAACCGGTGCTGAAGCTATTGCTAAGATGGCAATTGAACTGAAGAAGCATTATGCTTGTTATGCATAGTATGTATTGGATGTTACCTGGTGCTTCACTGCATTTTTTGCTTAGATGGCTCTGGAAGCTGGACTTTGACGTTAGAATATAATGTAGACAACAATAATGTGAAAATTGCCAACGATGGAGTCTTGCAGATTCTGCTCGAGAATTGTTATCATTCTCTTTGTTGATCTCATGTTAGTTTTAAAAGTCTCATCTCTTATCGCAAATCCTTGTGGAAATACGAGAGAAGGGTTGCATCCAAGAATATTTAAGTTCAGCAGTTTAGTTGTCTATTGTTTTTTGGCGGAGATTGAATTCTATTAGTTTATGTATTGCAGGTACAACGTGGCTGTGAAGTGTGCTACAATTACCCCTGGTTTGTTCTCCTGCTTCAAGCTTTTCAATCTCTTGCATTTTCACCATAATGCCACCATAAAATATGATTTCATAGACTTCTCAAGTTGTTTTTCTGCTATCATTCATGTTTGGAGTGGAGAACAAGGGCCTTAATGTGCAATCTAGTTGCAGTTAATTTATTTTAGACAAATTTACAGGCTCTAACTCGTTTTTCTTCCTGAATTTTTTATTTTTCAGATGAGACTAGAGTCAAAGAATTTGGCTTGAAGTCTATGTGGAGGAGTCCCAATGGCACAATCAGAAACATCTTAAACGGTCTGTTATATTGAAGGAAGCCTCTTGTCATTTAGGAACCTTTGAATGTTGAATTGCAAATAAATTCTTGCATTTCTTATGTATGGAAATTGGAGGCTATTTCGAGGGGTGATGAGTACTTTATTAGGATGGCGTTTAATCTGGAAGTGGGGATATTGGTAAAATGTAACAAGTTTTATGAAACGTAGTCTTTAGTTATAGCCTGTTTGATAACCTAATTAAGTACTGAAAATTGACAATTTAGCAACTTAATGAGATTTAGCACGTTTTCTGACCAAAAAAAAAAAAGATTGAGCACGTTTGATAGGCCAATTACATTTTTGACTTAAATGATTCGATTAAGTAAAAAAATTAAATTAAAGTGTTTAGTGAAGGTAGGGATTTCACTTAAATTGTTAAATAGAAGAACTAATCAATAATAATTAGAATCTTTCAAATTATATTGCTAAAAGCTACCGATAATGATCACAATTTCATGTTTGGTAAAAGGTTAATAAGATTTAGGGTCATTTTTCAGTCATCATCAAACAACTGTATATTTCTTTTTTCAGCACGTAAGATTGTCGACATTTAAAGTTCAGTTCTTAAGTTTTCAGTACTTGTGAATATGTATCGAATAGAATCGTTTATGTTCTTTTGTGCGCAAGTTTCTTCCTGTGACAATAGAATGTTCCTTCATAGTAGTTCATGAGAAAAGTTGATTTGTGCTGACAATCCGGTAAGTAGTTGAGTTTCATGTGAGGAATAATCTTCTTATTTTTCTTGACATTCAGTTCTTTTATTGACTCTTTGCCATTTTAAAGAGAGAAGTGGGTCAGAAGAATCTTTTGGTTGCAGAATTTGTAGCACTAAGGTGCTGACTTACTGACATTTGACTGCATGAAATGGAAACACAAAGTTATCAAATACGTGTAAATGAAAGATATTTTAAGAGAGAGATAAATTCGAAGATTTTTCTAAGTGTTATCTTAATAAAGAAAGTCCACAAACATTTATCTACTTTGTTGAGCTTCTCGATTTGATATGTTAAATTAGTGAAAACGACGTGAGGCTGAGCGCAATGTGTAAGAACATCCATTTATTTGCCCCCACTCAATGGGATGAGGTTTGGTTGTGGTGGTTGTAGTTCCTGCCACTGGAGCAGGAGCTGTATTTTCAGGCTGCTGTAGATATATCTGGCGTCACTTCCATTATAGAGATTTGATCTCCAATCCCTTGCATCTTCAATTAGTTACCTAAGAGAATACATGTTACCTTTTCAGGCACTGTGTTTCGTGAACCAATCCTCTGCCGGAACATTCCCAGAATCGTTCCTGGTATGCCTTTGCTTCTGGTGTAGAATTAGAGTTTGGTGAGCAGTACAAAACAGTTTTAATCTCTGTCAAATGCACAGGTTGGAAAAAACCCATTTGTATTGGTAGACATGCATTTGGTGATCAATATCGTGCTACCGATGCCGTTATTAGTGAGGCAGGAAAGCTCAAAATGGTATTTGGTAAGATGAATTTGACGATCTTTTGTATTTTAAAAGCTTTTACTTCTTGATTTTCAATGACGTGACCATTTTTTATGATACTTAGTCCCAGACAATGGGAATACCCCAATGGAACTCGATGTTTACCATTTTAAAGGTCCTGGTGTAGCCCTTGCAATGTATAATGTTGAAGAGGTTTGTCTATTTTTCCTTTTATCATTTTAACATTTAGATTATGGCGTGTTAGATTTTAGAGACTCATTGCTGTATTCTTGTCAAATGCTCACAGTCCATTCGAGCCTTTGCTGAGTCATCAATGTCTATGGCACTTTCGAAGAAATGGCCTCTCTACCTGAGCACCAAAAACACCATTCTAAAGAAATACGATGGCAGGTCAGTGACTTTTGTATATAATTCTTATACTTCTGGTGTCATTGTACATTTTCTTTTGACCTGTTATGATGTTTGTCAACTTGATTTCCATGCGCAAGAAATTCACATAGACGGATTGTTACAGATTTAAGGACATATTCCAGGAGGTATATGAAGAGAAGTGGAAGGACAAGTTCGAGGAACATTCGATATGGTATGTGCCTTAAATATTCTCGTGTGTGGACGCACATTACCTATTCCTATCAGATTGACCTTAATCTTAGATTCCAGGTATGAACATCGTCTAATTGATGACATGGTCGCTTATGCACTAAAAAGTGATGGTGGTTATGTTTGGGCTTGCAAGAACTATGATGGAGATGTGCAGAGTGATTTACTTGCTCAAGGTATTTTTACTTCTCTATCGTTAGGAGCGGCTGCATATGATATCCATTCGTGTTATTTACTCTATGTGCTCATGGTTCTATGGCTTGGCCTTTTAGGCACTTGTCTGCGTTATATGCTGGAAGAATTGTACTTAACAACCTATTGAACTTGTAGATAGTGGGATAAGATTGTCGTACTGTAGTTAGTTTACAGGAAGCAGGTGGATCAGAAAATTTGGATACGTCCTCCATGAACACTTCCACCCACTGCCCTCCAACAAAAAAAAAAAAACTACCGTAAAAAAAAATAGAGAGAGAGAGAGAGAGAGAGAGAGAGTACATGTAGTACTATGGGGATTAATAGTGTCAATGTAAGTAATTCTTGAATTTTTCACTTTTAATCGTTCTTGCGTAGTTTATTTGTGTTTTCACCTAACTTTTCGCATTCTGTTCAGTTAATTATTCATTTAGAGATATGCTATCCAGAGCATATTACGATGAAATACGATTTTTGGGCAAAGTGGAAAACAGAATTTGGATAATTGAATCTTAACTTTAGTTTGAAGCTACTGAATATAATGCTGGGGAATGATAAGTATGCAATCTGTTTGGACCTCTAGGGCATTCAGTATTCCCTAAATAAGCGACTCTAGCTTTTGGTTGCTTTAAGAAGGATCCACTGGTTATCTTTGTCAGAAAAATCACAGATCTGATGTGAAATGGATGGGTTTGATAGTTCTTTTCTGAAGAGGTTGCATTATATGCAGGATTTGGCTCTTTGGGTCTCATGAGCTCTGTCCTGGTGAGTACACTGTTTATTGTTTCTGTTCAATTACTTTGATCTTGAGAGCTTAGGAACTCTTGATGGCAATGATTTTTTGCAGTTATCCTCTGATGGAAAGACTTTGGAAGCTGAGGCTGCTCATGGGACTGTAACTCGCCATTTTCGTCTACATCAGAAGGGTCAAGAAACTAGTACCAATAGCATTGCTTCTATATTTGCGTGGACAAGAGGATTACAACATAGGTGCATTCTGATACTTGAATTTATTACTTACCTTCCTGTTCACCTCTGTCTGTAAGGGGTTCTCTTAGTTACTTCCTATGTCGGTGGATGTCTTGCCTCTGGTTCTGCTTTTATGTCCTATAGAATACTTCAAATATATTAGTCAAGCCCTGCTGCAATTGTTCTCCTGCCAGAGTACTGAATGGAACATATTAAGCTTTGCTTCCTGGTGTAGTGCCAATATGAGACTGTTACTTTTTCGCAGGTAGAGATAGTAAGGTTATCGTTGACTTGCAATTTGCGAATGTTTGTTCAGAAGGGAATAATGGACAGGATCACTAGACTTTTAGTCCAAATGTAATATTGCTTTCTAGTTTGAGATAAGTACACCGCAGAAGATTATTTCATCAATGTTCTGTGTTTATGCATTTCTATGTTCATACACGTTTGTCGTTCTACATTTTTTCCCCCTTCATCCGTGCTGCTTTTATGCACTCCGTGTTGCATGTCGTTCTACTGTTGTTTCAACTTTTAAACCATCATTTGCCAATCATGATATTCAGGGCTAAACTAGATAACAACGACAAGTTAATGGATTTTGTTCAAAAATTGGAGGCCGCATGTATCGAGACCGTGGAGGCTGGAAAAATGACCAAGGATCTTGCCATCTTGATCCATGGACCAAAGTAAGCATCATCTTTACTCAATACCATGTCAGTTTCCTCAGGAGGTATGTGATGTGAAACTATTTTCTTTTCTATGCCATTTTAAATCTGATGATTGGTCACGGTTTATGCAGGGTCACTAGGGAGTTCTACTTGAACACGGAAGAATTTATTGATGCTGTCGCACAAAATCTGGAGGCAAAGTTGCGGGAACCAGCGCTTGCCTAAAAGTTGAATCATACATTGTCCGTGTGAGATATTTGTCGGGAAGTTAGCATTTTTGTCGGACAGACAGACATTCATTGCCACAGTCAAAGCAACTACACTTAGGCACAGGTAATTACTAAAACAAGTTAATTGATGTGAAATGAAAAGCAAAGCAGAGGCAATTTTTGTTCCTACGCGGACAAAGGCAATCAGAGTGCACATTATGACGAGGAATAACGCATTCTGACCTGCGTCGTTTTGGCGGTCTCGAAGTTGGTTTCTCGAAAAGTTCTTTATTCATGTGTGACGCAGTTAATTTGTGCTAGCATTCCCTAACCTTCGTGAACGAATAAATGAGGAGGACCTTGCTGTAAGTTGTTTAAAAAATTAGTGGCATTTTATGAAAGATTTGAAAGTTACTTTGCACGAAATAGCAATTGCCCTTCTTTTTCTATTTTATTAAGCTTTCGAGTTCAAATTTAGCCAGAGTTGAAGGCGTGAAGGAAGGCATTGCGTCGTCGATGGTCCCCCTGCCAACAGCAAAATATAGAAGCCAAAAGAGAGAGTCAGGGGAAATCGAATGGTGGCTTCGAACTTGAACCATTTCATCTCATGCCATCCGTTCGTTCCCAATTTGATGTACGTACAAAAATGTAGATCCGGTTGAACCCCACCAAATTTATCAAGACCATCTTTTTCTTTATCATTTTTTAATCTTATCTCCTGCACGAATGCAACCCCTTCTTCTGGATTTTGACGTTTCTGAGAAGCTCCCATCTTCTTGCAAAGGTCGCTATTGTCCATATTTGCCAATTTATCTCCTTCCATAATCACCATCGATCGAAATGCAAAGCTCTCTGTCTTTTCGGACCCTAATTTTGCGTAGAACGAAGAAACACAAGCTCATCGCCTTTGACTTCAAGGGTTTCGAGCTCCGTCCCTGTCGACATGGGGAAAAAAAGGCAAAATGTCCTGTTTTCCCTTCTTGGTCGGGCCGTCAAAAGATTTCGTGAAAAGAGTCGAATGTTGTTCCTTAATAAAATCGAACGTATGTAAAATTTCGAGCTATATTTTTTTTTGTCGCGTGCACAAAATATCACGTGAACTTACCAAGAGGAGAAAGGTTCCCGTACCTTCGAAGTGTGAATTCCGAATTGACAATGACATAATGAAAAAAAAGGGATAATGGATAACGAAATGGGCTTTGTTATATTAACACTGTTGAGTTAGTTAATCCCCTGCTCTCAATAACGTGCAACGTTGAAACAAATAGCCATATCTTGTTGAAAATATGTCTTGAGTTCGAGCATGATGAAAAACTTTCTTAAATTAAGTAGATTTCCGAATTGAATGATTTCCTGATTGGAGTTGATTTCTTATTTAAGTGGTTAGCTAGTTTGTAAATCTCTTCTTCATATAAGAAGTGTGACGAAGGATTATTATAACTATAGCTGACAATAATTTGGATAATGCTGATTATGTTTTGTCTGTCACTAAAGTTCGTTGTTTGACGAATGGATTATGGGTTCTAGTTGTCGTTCCATGCTACACCAATAGGAATTTGTTTACTACTTATCGATGCATAAACAACGATGATTGCAATGTTATAGGTGTTGCCGATGTTAGAATTATTACACATGATGGTATTGTGAGAACATTGACCGGAGTGAGGCATGTTCCAAAGTTGAAGAATAACCTGATTTCCTTGAGTAACTTGAATTTAGCTATGTGTTAGTACACTTCAGAAGGCTAAAACCTGAAAATTGTTCGAGGTGCCATGGTAATAATGAGACGAACCAAGCACAGTGGCCTTATGGGCTTTAAGGTGAGATAGTGACGGATTTCGCCTCGGAGATATCGGATACATCTGTTCAAAAGTGTGTTTGGAGCACATTGACAAGAGAAGCCTAAAGGTTTTTAATGAAAGGAATATAATGTGTGGTAATGTTGCTAATAAGTTGAATGCATGCGGGTATTGTGACTTAGATCAAAAGCGGAAAGTGCAATTTAATATGACTGTCGGAGAAACCACGAAAATTGCAGAGTTAATTCACTTGGATGTGTGTAGGTGGAAAAACATTGTGGCAATTACCGTTCATCACTATAGCAGTACTGTGGTAAGTTGAAAAACCGTCGATCAGCATCCGTGAAATGGAAAACCAAAAGAAGATACAATAGAAGGGAATGTTTCTTCTGAAGAAAAGGAGGCTGTTTCTTGGATGTAAGGAGGTTTCATCCTCGGACTTTCCACCCTTGGAAAGGACAAATTCTAGTGCTCCTTTTCCTATGAGGAAGAGTGCTAGATTTATGCTAACAATTATGGACGATTATTCGAGAAAGACCTTGGTGTTTGTGCTGAGGCATAAATTTGATGTTGTTGTCATGATTAAGCAGTTGAGAGTTTTGATTGAAAAAGAGACTGGTAAGATGATTAAGTATGTGTGGACTGATAATAACATGAAGTTTTGCTCAGAGCTGTTAACAAATTATGCATGAAGGTAGAAATAGTGAAACACCGCACTAGTATTTGTGAACCACAACAAGTTGCATAGTTGATGACTAAAACATTACTAGAGACGGCCCATAAAATACTCTCTCGTTGGTATGACGAATGCGCTTAGTATGGCTACCTACCTGATGAATAGATTCCTATCGACTACGATTGACCGTCGGACTCTCGAAGAAGTGTGGTCAAGTAATATTACTAATTATTCAGTATTTGGAATATTTTGTTGCTCATGTTATATTTGAGTGAGTGATGGTAATTTGATGAGAGGTCAAGAAAGTGCATGTTCCTAGATTAAGCACAAGGTGAGCGAGACTATCGATTGCGGTACTTGGAATTAAATTCACCTATTATTATCAGAGAAGTCACGTTTGATGAGTCTCAAGAACTTTTAGGTAGGAGTATTATCGGCAGTGTTTTATACGGATTTGGATGGCGTTCGGCTCAAGGTGGAGTTGCAGGCAGAAACTCATGAGGTAGCATATATCAGTAGAGTTATCAACGCATATGATGCTTATAGCGAGTGGAGCGTGTAGAGCCAAGAGTTGCTGTAACTACTAAGTTTTACAAAGTGCATGTTCAATCCCCTGACAAATATGGATGTAACGGTTTTGTTTTATCCGTGGTCAATGAGGTTGTGTCTCTGAATCCTTGTGGAGCAGTTAAAGTTGCAAGTGGAGTCGGTGTTCCGACGAGATGCACCGTTATAGTGAAGTTTAAGTAATGCTTGGATATAAAAAAGATGTCTCTGGCGGTCAAGGCCGTGAAGGGCTGTGTGTGACTTGGCCCAAATGTTGAGCCAAAGTAGAAATTGTCGAAAATATGTCTCCAGTGTGAGCGTGAAGAAAAAAACTTCCCTAATTTAAGTATATTTACTAATTGATTGGTTTCCTAGTTAGAGTTGATTTGCTATTTAAGTGGTTATCGGATTTGAATAGGTTTCCTGAATTTGAATAGGTTTTCTATTTTGGATTAATCTCTTTCATATATAAGAAATGTGACGACTTCTTGTGAAGAGACCAAAGAGAAAGCATCTGCTCGTGAATTACATCCCTTGTATCACTTTATAGTGAAATATATGGTGCTCTCCCAGTGACGCCACGGAACTTACGTAAATCTGCTTGTTTCCGCACCGTCTCTGTCTCTCTTCATCTCTCTCAAAATGCAGAGCACGTCGCTTGCTCTGTCTCCTTCGACGCCATTCCCGAAACCTCGAAGCAGAGGCCTCCTCCCTCGGTCTTCTTCGACTCGCAACGAGTTGCCACTGAAATCGCTCGAACGCGGAGCTCATGACTCCGCCCTCTTGCCTCCGAGAGCAGCTTCACGCCTCTGTTTTGCCTCGCGGCCCAATGCGCAAGTCCCGGCTTCTCCTCCTCCTTCATCTTCGCCTCTTTTTCCGAGAAGGAAGGAAGATGACACCAGGGCCAGGGCTGCTTCGGTGCCCGAAAGCGTGGAGGACGACTCCGCGAAGCTGAGCGGCGTCGCGAGGACGCTGCGGCTCGGTGTTATGTTCGGGGTCTGGTACCTGTTGAACATCTGTTACAACATCTACAACAAGCAGGTTTTTGTGTCTCCCTCTTCATTTTTCCCTTTTCTTCTCAAGAATTGGGTTAGCCTTACTGGTTTTGGAATGGTTTAGTATGATGTATACAATCTGTGTACGAGAATATTTTGCAGAGCATGCTAGATCATTAAAGACTGGCTGATCAAATGTGGGTATATCACATCTCATAGCAATTACTGTATCGATCTTGTAAACCAATTTTCTTATACCTGGTGTCGTTCAGGCTAGATAAACAAACGCTCATGTATTTCGAAGTACACTAGTTGAGACATACCCATTAGAACTGAAAACGACCGCGGGTCATCGAGCTTCGGTTCATGAACTAAAAGAGTCCTTTGTAATTTGTGAGCGACAGTGGCATGTATGGCCATTGACTGGAGTTCTCGCAATTAAAGAGTGAAGAAGAAAGAGGTCGGTCATGACAGTTTTTTACAGTGAAGCCCCCCTTCTTTTGTTCCTGTTGGAGAGAGAGGAAAATGTGCAGTAGTCATGCTCGTGCTTGATTTTGCGTTACGTTTCAGAATATGGCTCCCCAGTTTTTTACTGAACAAGTCCGCTAAACATTGTCTTAAGGGAAGTAATAAAGGTTAACATCCTGAAGATACGCTTGTCAAGTTAGCTCACCCAGCTCCATTCAGTGCACTAAAAAACTTTCTCATCAGTAGATGAATGCATACAGAATAATGACAAAGGTTTTCCAGAACGGTGGCTCAGCAGTTCCCTTGGAGAAAGGGGGAAAGTTCTCTTTCAGCTTGCTGCCTAGGGTTGGCAGCTGAGTTCATTCTTTGATACCCTACACCATTAAAGAAAATTATGGAATGCATAAGCCCCACCTTAGAGAGAGGGACCACCTAAAAAGTGGTAATAACTGCGAATGAGCAAGCAGGGGGCGGGCAACTGATAATTACAGTAGTGAACAGCATAAAAATCAAATGGTGAATGAATTAAAAGAAAAGGCAAACCAAAAAAGTTTCAATTTTGTTATGCTGAAATAGAACTCTTCCCAAATTTTTTTTAATTCAGAATTAGAATGGGAAATGATAGGCCAATGACTTAAAAAAAGATATTATCAATCATGTCAAAAATCAAACCATATACAAAAAAACCGGCCATCGAAATCGAACCGATGACCGTATGAAATTGTCATATTGTACATGCATAGGAATTTTGTAAACTCTTGGGATCTTTTCTATTAATTTGATCTATTCATTATTAGCTATTCATAGCAAAAATGGATTCATTGAATTCAATATTGAATATGGAAGAGTAGGATTCCCAATAAATATTTGATAGCATGGAGGATAACGATTAATATAGTGATAAGGAACTTTAAAGCGAAAATCCAGCTTCATTTTTAATTAATGTTTCCAGTTTTTGCTTACAAATTTCATTGTACTTGGGAACTGTACAGGTTCTGAAGGTGTACCCTTTCCCAGCAACAGTCACAGCATTTCAGTGTGGGTGTGGGACTGTGATCATTCTCCTGATGTGGGCATCTGGACTCCATCCATTCCCTAGGCTCACTCGATCTCAGGTGAGTGCTGTCTCATGATTCAGAAACAAGTACAAAAGAAAGAGGCAAAACTAGCATTCTTCCTTTTATCTGAGTTGTTAGTCGACGATTTTCGCTTTACTAAAAAACGTTTATAAACTTTCAGCTTGCAACAATTCTACCACTGGCTGTGGCACACGCCATGGGGAACCTCCTGACCAACATAAGTCTTGGGAGAGTGGCTGTTTCTTTCACTCACACCATCAAAGCTATGGAGCCCTTCTTCACGGTTGTTCTTGCTTCTCTGTTCCTTGGAGAGGTATAACTTTCTTCATTTGGTCACTTAGCTGATGCACAGCTGATAGCACTAAAAATTTATGATTCAGCTATTCGCTTTGGAAACCCTTTTTGTTAGACCCCTTTTTCTAGCTTGTGGACTTTTGCTGCTTACCTGAGAGAAACTACTGTTATAGGTTTTGGCACCAATAGTTTATAAAAGAGTTGTATTTGCCGCATAATAGATACTTCATCACACCTTTTGTTTCTCATTCCTTGAGCCTGTCTCTTTCCAGTAGGAGCATACTGTGTCTGTGCACTTAGGGAGAAAACAAATCTAGGATTGCAACCGAGCAAGGGACTGATCCTAGTTGTAATGAGATTTAAAAATTTCAGGACCCACTGAAACTGATATGAAACGACCCAATTCATGGTCCCTCAAACATGAGCATATCCCATTCCATGTGTATGACTCTTGCGATAGAGAATGTGATGCTTGATGGAGAAACATTTGTTGTATTGTTCGTTCTGACCCTTCATATCTTGAGTTTCACGACTTCTGAAAGAGCCAAGTGGAGCACAATCATTTACTGTATGATGAAATTTACTGATATGACTTCAATTTATGTTAATATCTGCCCCCAGAGGCCATCATTCTGGGTTGTTTCTTCCCTTGTGCCGATTGTAGGAGGAGTGGCACTCTCATCTCTCACCGAGGCTTCATTTAACTGGTAAGCTCTTCTTCTGCAATTCTAATCTCAATAGCATGTTCAGAAATTCTTGATATATCTCTGTGAAGATTTCGATCACAATCAGTGTCAAAACTTAAAGCTTCAGCTGATTTTGCACTTACACAGATATGTCGATAATGTATAAGATCACCTTTCATATATCGATGTCAAATGGAGTTAAAGTTTTTTTTTTTTTTTATGTAAATGGAGTTAAAGTTGAACCAGCTTTACTTGGTCTAGTTCCGACGGATGATCTCCCTATTTCCATTTGAAACAGGATTGGTTTTGGCAGCGCAATGGCTTCCAATTTGATGAACCAGTCACGTAACGTGTTTAGCAAGAAGTGCATGGTTAACAAAGAGGTAATGTCCATTTATGGCTAACATCAGCATCAAATATCATCATAGCTTCTGTAACCCTCCAATCCCTCTTAGGATGGTAGAAAACTTGTGAAGTGATCCATAAAGTAGACACTCACCTTAAATTATTGCCATTTGATTACTTCCTTAAGGGGCTTGCGCCACTTGAATACGCCGAGTCATTATGAATTGTATCAGAGCTAGATGTGTGGTTCATGATATGCCGCTTTTCTAGTTATTGAACTTCTTATTTGCGAATAGGCATCCGGCCTTGCTGGTAAAGGGATTGGAGGGATGGGGACGTTACTATCACAGGTGCGGGGTTCGACTCCCGCGCTTTGCAAGAGGCAGAGCAAAAGTTCGAAAGTGAGGAGAGTTAGAGATAGGATAGACAAAAAAAAAAAAATTTCTTATTTGGCAATGGATACATGGGCTAACCATTACTTATTTCAGGAAGCATTGGACAACATCAATCTCTTCTCCATAATGACGATAACTTCTTTTATGTTTTTGGCTCCCGCAGCTATCTTCATGGAAGGTTTTAAGTTTACTCCATCATACCTGCAATCTGCCGTAAGTAACATATTTCAGAAAACTGAACCTGACCCACTGAAGAACATAGAGAAAGCACCTTGGATTTAGTTGTTCACTGTTTTGTGTCAGGCAAGTCAAGGTTTGAACATTAAAGAGCTGTGTGTGAGATCTATTTTGGCTGGATTCTGCTTCCACAGCTATCAGCAGGTGAGCCTCAGGCTTTTCAGTTCGTCCCCTGTCATGCGCTTTTCTTCAGTATTAGCCACCTCATTTCTCACCACCTGGTGAGTGGCGCTGGTCTCTGTGGTTTGGAACCTCAGAACATGAGTGTTCACTGAGAAAGTCTCGAGTTATAGGATTTCTTGTGAGAAATGCTAGATCATATTTTATAAATGTCTAACCAAAGCCTAAAATTTACCTCTGATCTTGTACAAGGTTTTCTGCTAGGAATATTGCGATCAACTTCCCAATGCTAAGTTTGAAGTTCACCCTTTTCATACACTGTTAAGACAGAAGTTGATGATGAACCAACCTAAACTCAGTTGTAGTTGATGCACGAATATAATCTTGTTTAAAGTCCTAGCCTCATATTATTTTCCAAAAATGACGAGCCGTCTCCATATTCTTGCTATTTGGCAGGTCTCTTATGGGATACTACAGATGGTATCGCCGGTCACTCACTCTGTCGGAAACTGTGTGAAGCGCGTGGTGGTCATAGTCTCTTCCGTCATCTTCTTCCAAACACCGATTTCACCCATCAACTCCCTTGGTATATAATCTTCGAATCAGCAAATTCATCGACCCTTTTTATATTGTTTAACTTTTGGTCATGAGCAGACCTACGATGATCTCAGCTTATTTAAACTTGAGGAACAATCCGTTGCGACCGACTTGTGGATGCAGGAACCGCGTTGGCTCTCGCCGGAGTCTTCCTGTACTCAAATGCCAAGAGGATGAAGCCAAAATTGAAGGTCTCATGAGCGTGATGTACCAAGTCGATAGAAAAATACTAAGTTCAATGAATTTGACAATAAATGATAATCCTAATTAGGAAAACCATTAAGTGATTCATAAAAAAATCACATAAGAAGTGAAAATAGTCTCATCCTTTATTGCCCCTCTCCCAACCACAGTCAGATGCACATTATCTGTAAGATTTCAGTCTCTGGTCCTTTGAATTTAATGAACAGTCACATTAGGTCCTGTCGAATTTTCAATTCAAGTGCATATGTCACTGACAATCTTTCTCGACTCAAGGATCATCAACTATGACGAAAGTGCAATCCAACTTGATTAACTTTTCCTGTGTCGGCACTGTTGTCATAATTACCAATAAGATCTGCTGAAAACTACATGGACAAAAGCATTGGTATTCCCACACAAAAAGTGCACAACAAGGCGGTGCATACTATAGACTATACGCAAGTCGGGCTATCATTGCCCCAAATGAAAGAGAAATTATATGCAAAGAGAGGACATTCCAAGTACGGACCAATGCTCCATAGCAATCCGACTTGGAATGCTGGAATAACTTGGGACACATTCCAAATTGTTGCTGCAGTCAGTGCAGACTAAACTCACCATGGGAATTGCAAGGAGATTTATTGAGTTGAGGAGAATTGAATCAGAAACATGAACATTTCGAGATGTTTGCGCTCCCCTTCCGCGATTCAAATCCGAGCCAGATAAGAACTAAAGCCCGCCTATCAATTGGTTAACTGTTCAGTCAGGTGCTTTACATCAATCAGTAGCCTTTGGACATGATACACTCGACCAGATCCAAAATCCGAACATAATCGTAGAAGAGCGAGGACTCCCTGCCTTCCAGTCCATCCCTACTGTGCCAGTTACTGCCTGTGAGATTGTTGCACGGGCTTCCGCCAATGATGAGAAGGAACCCGCCAAAAGAGTTCATGAGCTGCTCCAGCCTATCCCCATTCAACTGTTGCACATCGGCAATGTTGATCAAATTGCCCTTCTGGTTTGTTTGTTCCCACCAACTCTTCACGATATTTCTGTTGACTACAGATATTTCCACAGAGACCACGTTTTTTAGCAGGGTCCCAAGCCGATGAAGAGCAACTTCTGCCCCGCCAATTCCAGAGAAGAGAGAGAGGAGGTTGATTCCAGCAGGGAACAAGTCCTTCAGAATGGAGAGATGGTAAGCCACGGTATCAACCTGAAAGTATGCCAGAATATGCCTCCATAAGAATTCATGCACTGGATCACCATGGAACAACTTTGCAACGTATGATGCAGCTGAGTTATTCTTGGTTCCAAGCAAATAGAAGTCAGCCAAATACCTACCTGGACGGAATTGCCGAGCAATTTGTATCTATCGGTTCTGCTTATCCCACCTCCTCTGGTGTGATTTTTCGGGAAACCTAAAAGCATGTCCACCTCATCAGGCTCCAATGGAGCCAGCTTGTTCCTTCCCACTCAGACGAGGTTCCACTTGCGGCATTCATCAAGAACATATTTTTGGATCCTCAGAGGAGGCTCTGACTCACCATCATGATGTTCAAGGGCCTTTCAAAACCTGTCTGTAAGCTTTGCACTGCCAATGCATGTTTGTAAGGAATTCAGCTTCGTCCTCGTGTCTCGTGAGGGCCACCACTTCCTCCTCAACGGCAATGTTTCATGAATCGTGCGCGGAGGGAGTGGAAGAAGAGGAAACCTGTTATCGATAGGTAGGTTGTGGACATAGCCTCTTTTCCTTGCAGTACCACAGAAGTACTTGGAGTCTACAAATTCCGGTTCAACATCATATAAGAACCGGGAAATGGTGTTCCAAACTCCCTTGGGAGCAAGTGCTACGTTTTCATAGTAAAAGTAAGGAGGTCCTATAGCTGCCTCAGGAAGTGTTCGGCGAACTATCGCGCTCGACTCTGTGGGTACCTTTCAAACCCGATCATGGGATTCGGGAGGCGAATTGGCTCCTCAGCTCCATGCAAGAGCTTTTTCTCGCCTCTTCTTTTCTTGCTCCAAGCATCACAAATAGAAAGTTTCCTCTTCTCGTGCTTTGTATTAAGATGAGGAGTAACTCAATCTGACCCACGCCGATTCGGCCGTCTTGAAGTCTTTCGTCCTCGTGCGACATGGTTATGTTAGGCTAGCATTCGGTCGCCTTTGTAGAAGAATAAATCGAGGGAGACCTTGTTTGTAAGCATTTCAGAAATTAGTGCAACTTCTTTACAAAAGATTTGAAATTACTCCTGCATGAAACAGCAGCTGCGCTTCTTTTTCGATGGTCCTGCAAAATAAACTGAGCGTCCGATGGAGGAGGAGCGAGCGAGCAGTGGTCACATATTTTGGCATCGGCGGATTCAGCACCACACGACCATTTCGATCATCCCGTGGCCATCCATTCGTCTTCCCAAGATTCCAAATACGTGCAAGAAACGTAGGTTCAATCGGCCCCCACCAAAATTCATCACGACCACATTTCTTTTTTCTTCTTATTTGCATCATTATCCAATTCGCCGTCGATCCGAATGCGACATCTGTTTCGGAAGGTCGCTATTTCCCGTCTTTTGCCAAAATGTCTCCTCCCTTCGTAATTGCCATTGATCCCGAATCCAAAGCTCCCCTGCGTATTTCCTTTTCTCAACAGGGGTCGCTGTTTTCCATATTTTGCTTAGAAAAAAGAAACGCAAACGGCCAAACTCCATCGCTTTGACTTCGAGGTTTCGAGCTCCATCCCTGTCCACATAAGGAAAGAAAATGGGCAAAGGTTCGTTTGTTCCTGTTAGTGATTTGTCCTAAGAATCAATCAAGGTTGATACTCTAATATTAGTTGTGGATTAAGTTGTGTCGGAAAATCGACCTTCACTATACTTAGGTAGTCATAATGTCTTGCTAGAGACCGTTTATGACTTGTGGGCAAAAAAGAGTTTTGAGCACACTGCTAATGTTTAATGAACCTACAGGGTCGCACACAAAAGCGAACTGAGTTAATATTTTCTGTGCGCCGGGATCTACTTAAAATAAGAAGTAAATTTTAATTTATTCTCCTATTCAACTTATCTACGCGGTCGTGCGCGTTATGAGATAACGATTAAATGTACGATTGAAGATGGACGATTTGGCGGGCCCAAATCGCCTGGCCCACTTCTTTTAATTCCATTGGATAATGAGGCTGTATAAATAGATAGAGAATCGTTCTCTATCTAGAGTTTTTCGATAGAGTATCGAAAATCAAAAGGCGTTTAAGAAAAGAAACTTCAAGATCTTTAGCTAGCACTTGGATCGTTGGAGACTTCTGTTCGCATGTGTGGATACCGGTAGAGGCGCAACACTTGGGGCGCTAATCCAGACACAATCAATTATCAATTTACGTTCGATTTGCAAAAGGTACGTATCGAACTTCTGTCTCGATTTCAGTATACGCATGAATCCTGTCTAGGGTTTTATATATTTCGCTGCGTTTTTATCGTTGATGAACCCTACAGTTCCTTTGTAGGTCGGCGGTCAAGAAATCGGAAAAAGGAGTCGAACATTGTTTCTAAGTAAAATATTTCGAGCTACAACTTTTTTGTCGCATGCACGAAGAAACACGTGAACTGACCAAGAGAAGATAGGTTCCCCTGTAACCTTCGAACTGTAAGTTGACTAAATTCCTAACTAAAATTGACGTGATGAGAAAAGAAAAGGACAATGGAAAACCAAGTGGGGTTGTTCGTTTAACCCTGTTCGAGTTAGTTGATCCCCTGTTCTCCATCGAAACAGACAGCCATCTCTCTCTCAAAATGCAGAGCACAGCGCTTGCTCTGTTTCCTTCGACGCCATTCACAAAACCTGGAAGCAGAGACCTCCGCCCTCCGTCCTCTTCTTCGACCCGCGACTCGTCGCCGCTGAGATCGCTCGAGCGCGGGGCTCATAACTCCGCCCTCGTCCTGCCTCTGAGAACGACGTCGCGGTTCTGTTCAGCCTCGCGACCCAATGCGCTAGCCCCGGTTGCTTCTTCTCCTTCGCCTTCGCTTCTTTTCCCGAGACGGAAGGAAGATGACACCAAGACCAGGGCTGCTTCGGTGCCCGGAATCTCGGAGGACGACTCTGCGGAGCTGAGCGGCGCCGCGAGGACGCTGCGGCTCGGTGTTATGTTCGGGGTTTGGTACATTTTGAACATCTACTTCAACATTTACAACAAGCAGGTCTCTCTCTCTCTCTCTCTCTCTTCTCAAGAATTGTGTTAGCATCACTGGTCTTGGGTTGGTTTAGTATGATGAATACAATCTGTGTACGAGAAGATTTTGCAGAGTATGCCAGATCATCGACGAGATGTATATTAAAACTGGTTTATAGAGTGGGTATATTGAACGTACTACAATCACATCACTTAGTAATTAGTGTGTCGATCTTGTAAACCCATCTTTTTACACTTAAGTATTATTCACGATAGAGTATTCAGAAGAATACTACTTGAGATATACCCATTAAAACAAACACTCGTATAGCCCATTTTCACTGGAGATCTAGCAGTGAAAGAGCTTGAAGAAAGAGGTCATGACAGTTTTCCACAGTAAAACCCCCCCTTTTCTTTCTGGTGGAGAGCCAGCGGAAAATGCGCAGTAGTCTAAACATCGTCTCAAGGGAAGTAATGGAGATTAACATTTTCCTAAAGATGCGCGCTTGTCCGGTTGGGTCAGTACTGCTCATGGGAATGGTTGCTGCTCCATGTCAGTGCACTAAAAAAATATCTCACAAGCAGATGAATGCGCATACGGTTCAGTGAAGAAGCTTTCCAGAACGGCGGCTTAGGAGTTTCCTTGTACAGCTGGGCTATGAAGCGTACCAACAAAGATAATTAATGCCTAGTCTGTTCCTCGTGCAAAAAGTGACGAACCATTACTGACCACAAAACTTGTGGTTGGCACCTTATGACTTGCTTGTCTGATTCTTGTAATGTTACCTTTTAGTCTTAGATGCAAACTAAGAACCAAGGTCAAGAAAATGTCAATGATTATAATAGTAATAATAACAAAGGAAAAAATCACCAAAAATCCCAAACTATATCTGCATTTATCCTAAATTTTTTTTCTATGATAAAAAATCTCAAATTTATCCCCGTGTGACACATTTACCCTCCATTAAGATTTCGTCAATGAACACCGTTAAAAAGCATCCCTATATGGACACTGAAGGCTTAAGTGAAATAAAAACGACAGTTGTTCCAGAACATTGACGGAAGGTAAATGTGTCACATAGCTACAAAGTTTGGGGATTTTTATGTCACAAGAAAATTTTTTATGGTAAATGTGTCAAAGTAGGCATATTTTGGGGGTTTTAATGTCACAAAAAAAGTTTAGTGTAAACGTGTTACAGTGGGCATGATTCGGGTTTTTTCATGATTTTTTCCCTAATAACGATGATGGTGATTATAATACACCAGTTAGGGATAAATTATTTCTATTTATAGTTCCTACTTATTACTTACACTTTTTTTCTAAGTTCTTAAGACAAAAAAAATACTTATATTTCGAAAAATTATGAAAAATCACATACAATTTTACGCTTAAGTATATGATATTTGAATGTTTTGAAAAAATTTCAAGTATTCCGTGATAAATACAAGCCAAAGTGGTAATGTCCTAAAAATTTACAAAAAAAGTCGAAAATAGTAATCACCCAAATAGACCCTAGTTAGTATTAGTTTTTTTTTTTTTGGTTGCTAAAACCTAGTTAGTATTAGTTTTCAATCACTTAGTATGTACCTAACAGGGACTGTTAATCGCAGTCATCGTTAAGAATCCTTACACTTCATTTTAAATGCAGGTTTCCAGTTTCTGCTGACAATTTCCTTGTATTTGGGACTGTACAGGTTCTGAAGGTGTACCCTTTCCCAGCAACAGTCACAGCATTTCAGTTTGGGTGTGGGACTGTGATCATTCTCCTGATGTGGGCATCTAGACTCCATCCATTCCCTAAGCTCACTCGATCTCAGGTGAATGCTGTGTCATGATTCAAAAACGAGTAAAGAAAAGAGGCAAAACTGATATCTTTCAGTTCATCTGATGATGATAGTTAACAATCTTCGCTTTACCGAAAACATTTAAAAAAACTTTCAGCTTGCAGCAATTCTACCACTGGCTGTGGCTCACACAATGGGGAACCTCCTGACCAACATAAGTCTTGGGAGAGTGGCTGTTTCTTTCACTCATACCATCAAAGCTATGGAGCCTTTCTTCACAGTTGTTCTGGCTTCTCTGTTCCTTGGGGAGGTATAAGTTTCTTCATTTGGTCACTTTGCTGATACACAGCTGACAGCACATAAAATTTTCCAATTTGGCAGTTCCCCTTCAGAACATTATTTGTTAGGCCCCCTTTCTTAGCTTGTGAATTTTTCCTGCTTACCTTGGAGGAACTACCGATGTATGGTTTGGCCTCAATAGTCAATAAATCAGTCTTTGATGTGCCAGATGATAGATACTTCATCACACCATTTGTTTCTAATTCCTGCAGCCTGTCCTTTTCCGTTATGAGCATACTGTGTCTGTGCACTTGGGGAGAAAACAAATCTAGGATAGCAACCGAACACGGGATCGATCCTAGTTGTGATCAGATCTTAGAATTTCAGGACCCACTGAAACTGGGACGAAAAGACCCGATTCACGGTCCCTCAAACATAAGGATATACAAATTTAAGCGTATTGCTCTTGCGAAAGAGAATGTGATGCTTGATGTAGAAACATTTGTTGTATTCTCGTTCTGAAGTTCTTGAGATTTCTCTGTCCTTCCTATCATGAGTTTCATGAGTTCTGAAAGAGCCTTGTGGAGCCCTATATATGTACTGTATGATGAAATTTACTGATATGTAGCTTGACTTCAATTTGGGCTAATATTACCCCCAGAGGCCATCATTCTGGGTTGTTTCCTCCCTTGTGCCGATTGTAGGTGGAGTGGCACTCGCATCTCTCACCGAGGCTTCATTTAACTGGTAAGCTCTTCTTCTGCAATTCTAGTTTCAACATCATGTTCAGAAATTCTTGATGTATCTCTGTGAAGCTTTCGATCGCAATCAGTGTCAAACTGAAAGCTGCAGCTGATGTTACACTGATATGTCGATTATGTATAAGCTCACCTTTCATGTATCGATGTTAAATGGAGTTAAAGTTGAGCCAGCTTTAGTTGTTCTAATTCCGACAGATGATCTCCCTTTCCATTTGAAACAGGATTGGTTTTGGCAGCGCAATGGCTTCCAATTTGACGAACCAATCACGTAACGTATTTAGCAAGAAGTTCATGGTTAACAATGAGGTAATGTCCATTTATAGCTAATATGAGCGTCAACTATCATCATAGCTTTTGTAACCCCAAATCCCGCATAGGATGGTGAAGTAATCCATAAGTAGAGACTCGCCCTGATTATTGCCATTTTGATCATTTCCTTAGGGGGCTTGTGTGAACTGTATCAGAGCTAGATGTGTGGTTCACGATGTGCCGTTTTCTAGTCAATTTTAACTTTTGATTGGCAATGGATACAGGGGCTAACCATTACTTCTTTCAGGAAGCACTGGACAATATCAACCTCTTCTCGGTAATGACGATAATGTCTTTCATGTTCCTGGCTCCCGCAGCTATTTTCATGGAGGGTTTTAAGTTTACTCCATCATACCTGCGGTCTGCAGTAAGTGACATTTCAGAGAATTGAAGCTAACCCACTGAAGTACATATAGAAAGCACCTTGGATTTAGTAGTTTACCATTTTCGTGTCAGGCGAGTCAAGGTCTGAACATTAAAGAGCTGTGTGTGAGATCTCTTTTGGCTGGATTCTGCTTCCACAGCTATCAGCAGGTGAGCCTCAGGCTTTTCGCTTCATCTTCTGTCATGCCCTTTTCTTCAGTGTTAGCCACTGCACAACTGATCGGGCGGCGCTGGTCTCCAGGGTCCGAAACCTCAGAACGGAAGTGTTGACTGAGAAAGTCTGAGTTATAGCAAATCTTGTGAGAAATGCTAGAACATGATATATAAAGGTCCAACCAAACCCTAACTAGACTTTCATTTCCATGTATATATCTAAAAACAAAGGTAAAATATACCTCTGATCTTGTATGAGGTTCTCTGCAAGGTCAATTATGTGACATATTACAGTGAGGCCTAGTATATCATGGTCACCTTCCCAATCCGAAGTTTGCAGTTGACCCTTTTCATACACTGTTAAGACAGAAGGTGATGAAGAATCGACGCGAACTCCAGTTGTAGTTGATGCACGAACGTAATGTTTTTCATCTTAGTCCTAGCCTCACGTACTTTTCCTAATATGACGAGTTGTCTCCATATTCTTCCTATTTGGCAGGTTTCTTATGGGATACTGCAGATGATATCACCGGTCACTCACTCCGTCGGAAACTGTGTGAAGCGCGTGGTGGTCATAGTCTCTTCGGTCATCTTCTTCCAAACACCGATTTCGCCTGTCAACTCCCTTGGTATATACTCTTTGAATCAGCAAATTCATCGACCCTTTTTATATTGTTTAACCTTTGGTCATGCGCAGATCACCTACGATGATCTCTGCTTATTTAAACTCGAGGAATAATCCGTTGCGACCGACTTGTGGATGCAGGAACCGCGTTGGCTCTCACCGGAGTCTTCCTATACTCAAATGCCAAGAGGATGAAGCCAAAATTGAAGGTCTCATGAGGCGTGATGTACCATGTCGAGGAAAAATAAGAAGTTCAGTGAATTTGACAACAAATGATAATCCTAAATGGGAAAACCATTAAGTAATTCATAACAAATTCACATAAGAAGTGAGAATGGTCTCATCCTTTATTGCCCCTCTCCCAACCACAGTCAGATGCACATTATCTTTAAGATTTCAGTCTCTAATCCTTTGAATTCAACGACCAATCACATTAGGTTCTGTCAGATTTTCAATTCGAGTACATATGTCATTGACAATCTTTCTCGACTCGAGGGTCATCAACTATGACGAAACCGCCAACACAGACAAAAGCATTAGTATTCTCACACAAAAAGTGCACAACAAGGCGGTGCGTACTATAGACTATATGTTGGGCTATCATTGCCCGGAACGAAAGAGATATTATATGCAAAGAGAGGACATTCCAAGTACAGATCAATGCTCCATACAATTCGACTTGGAATGCTGGAATAACTTGAGACACATTCCAAATTGCTGCTGCAGTTAGTGCAGACTAAACTCACCATGGGAATTGCAAGGAGATTTATTGGATTGAAGAGGAGAATTGAATCAGAAACATGTAGAGATGTTTGCGCTCCCCTTCCGCGATTCAATTCGGAGCCAGATAAGAACTAAAGCCCGCCTATCAATTGGTTGATTGTTCAGTCAGGTGCTTTACATCAATCAGTGGCCTTTGGACGAGATACACTTGACCAGATCCAAAATCCGAAAATAATCGTAGAAGAGCGAGGACTCCTTGCCTTCCAGTCCATCCCTACTGTGCCTGTTACTGCCTCCGAGATTGTTGCAGGGGCTTCCGCCAACGATGAGATCGAACCCGCCAAAAGAGTTCATGAGCTGCCCCAGCCTATCCTCATTCAACTGTTGCACGTCGGCAATGTTGATCAAATTGCCCTTCTGGTTTGTTTGCTCCCACCAACTCTTCACGATATTTCTGTTGACTTCAGATATTTCCAAGGAGACCACGTTTTTTAGTGGGATCCCAAGCAGATGAAGAGCTAACTTCCGCCCCGCTAATACCAGAGAAGAGAGAGAGGAGGTTGATTCCAGCAGGGAACAAGTCCTTCAGAACGGAGAGATGGTAAGCCACGGTATCAACCTGAAAGTACGCCATAATATGTTTCCGTAAGAATTAATACACTGGATCAGCATGCAATAACTTTGCAATTGTTTACACCAAAAAGCGAAAAAAAATCATGGAAATAGGCATCGGGAGCTTTGGCGTCAATAACTTACCGATAGTTCGCAACTTACCGATAATGGGTGAGCAGAGGATTGGCATCAGCAACTTACCGATAGTTAGGTGTCAATAACAAAACTGCTTATAGATAAATGTGGTTATTTGAACGTGGAGAGTGCCTAGAAAATAGGAAGATAATAACCACCGTTAGAAAGTTACTTTTTATTTAAAATTTAAAAGTTGTAAACGCTTGTACGAGATGATAAATAAAAAAAAAAAATTAACAACAGAACTCACGTTCTTTATCAGTTTATCTTTATTTTATCTTTACATTTCCTGCACTCGTACCTTTTCATTTGGCCAAGGCCATTATTTTTCTGCAATTTACAAGCTTTAATTCTTTAAGAGTAGTTCTAATGCTCAGATTCACGTCGTCGAGTCGTCCTCCGATATGAATCTTCATCCTTGGTGCTTCGTCGTCGAGTCAAATCCCGGCGTAGTACCACCGCTCTTTCAAGCTTCGTCCTCGAGTCAAATTCCGTCGAAGTTTGTTTCGATAGTACTTCCTAAATTTTTCCGTCGAGTCAAACTCCGGTTTGGTTTAGGTTTGTACAATTCCACGTTGATTTTTATGATCGCTTGGATATTTCCTGTCAAATCACCACAGAACCCGTCCTTCAATTAAAAGCCGAAGATCCATTTTCGGTGTTTGTTTCCTTACGGATTAAATTACGGAGAAACAGCAATGTAAGATGCAACTGAGTTATTCTTGGTTCCAAGCAAATAGAAGTCAGCCAAATACCTACCTGGAAGGAATTGCCAAGCAAAGTGATTTTTCGGGAAACCTAAAAGCATTTCCACTTCATCAGGCTCCAAAGGAGCCAGCTCGTTCCTTCCCACCCAGACGAGGTTCCACTTGCGGCATTCATCAAGAACATATTTTGGATCCTCAGAGGAGGCTCTGATGTTCAAGGGCCTTCCTCTCTGTAAGCTTTGCACTGCCGATGCATGTTTGTAAGCAATTCAGCTTCATCCTCGGGTCCCATGAAGGCTGCCACTTCCTCGTCAACCAACGGCAATGCTTCATGAATCGTGCGCGGAGTGAGTGGAAGAAGAGGAGACCTGTTATTGATAGGTAGGTTATGGACATAGTCCCTTTTCCTTGCAGTAGCACAGAAGCACTTGGAGTCTACAAATTCCGGTTCGACATCACATTGGAACCGAGAAATGGTGTCCCAAACTCCCTTGGGAGCAAGCGCTACATTTTCATAGTAAAAGTAGGGAGGTCCGATAGCTGCCTCTGGAAGTGTTCGGTGAACTATTGCGCTCGACTCTGTGGGTACCCCCAAACCCGATCATGGGATTCGGGAGACGAATCGGCTCCTCATCTCCATGCAAGAGCTTTTTCTCGCCTCTTCTTTTCTTGCTCCAAGCATCATAATTAGAAAGTTTCCTTTCCTCGTGCTTTGTAAAGTCATTGAGCAGTCTAGGCTGCAGCATACCAAGAAAAGAAACTCACCACTTTAATATACATCTCCACAACAACCAAAATCAGCATGGACATAATTAAACAGGGCAAATCACCTTCTCTTCAGGGTGAGGCAATTTCTTTTCTTTCGCGGACAAATCAGGGTGCATTAAGATGAGGAGTAACTCAATCAGACCCGTGTTCGTTACGGCCGTCTCGAAGTCAGTTTCTCGAGAGAAGGCCTTCATCCTCGCGCTACGTGGTTATGCTATGCTAGCATTCCGTCGCATTTGTAGACCAATAAGTCGAGGGAGACCTTCCTTGTTTGTAAGCGTTTCAGAAATTAGTGTACTTCTTTACAAAAGATTTGAAATTACTCCTGCATGAAACAGCAGTTGCCCTTCTCTTTCGATGGTCCTGCCAAAAAAAACAGAGCGTCAGATGGAGGAGCGAGCGAGCGAGCGAGCAGCCACATGTTCTGTGACGGCGGATCCAGCACCACACGACCATTTCCGTCATCTCATGGCCATCCATTCGTTTCCCAAAATTCCAAATGCGTGCAAGAAACGTAGGTTCAATCGACCCCCGCCAAATTCATCACGACCACATTTCCTTGTTCTTCTTATTTGCAGCATTATCGAACTCACCAACGATCCGAATGCGACCCCTGTTTCGGAAGGTCGCTGTTTCCTTGTCTCTTGCCGAAATATCTCCAACTGCGTAATCGCCATCAATCCCGAATCCTAAGCTCCCCTCTGGATTTCTTTTTCTTCTTCTTTATCTCTGCCTGAGAAAGCTCCACACAACAGGGGTCGCTGTTTTCCATATTTTGCTTAGAAAAAAGAAACGCGAACGGCAAAGCTCGTCGCTTTGGCTTCAAGGGTTCGAGCTCCATCCCTGTCCACATGGGGGGATAAATGGGGCAAAGGTTCGTTTTTTCCCCCTGTAGGTCGGCGGTCAGGAAATCGTGATAGGAGTCGCATAGCGTTTCTAAATAAAACATATCGAGCTATAACTTTTTTGTCGCGGGCACGAAATAACATGTGAACTGACCAAAGAGATGATAGGTTGCCCTGTAACCTTCGAACTGCGAGTCGACTAAATTCCTAACTAAAATCGACGTGATAAGAAAAGAGAAGGAAAATGCAAAACCAAATGGGGTTGTTCGTTTAACCCTGTTAGAGTCAGTTGGTCCCCTGTTCTCCATCGAAGCAGACAGCCATCTCTCTCTCTCTCTCTCAATCTCTCTCAAAATGCAGAGCACAGCGCTTGCTCTGTCTCCTTCGACGCCATTCCTAAAGCTTCGAAGCAGAGACCTCCTCCCTCCGTCCTCTTCTTTGACTCGCAACTCGTCGCCACTGAAATCGCTCGAACGTGGGGCTTATAACTCCGCCCTCCTCCTGCCGTTGAGAACGACGTCATGGCTCTGTTCCGCATCATGGCCCAATGCGCTAGTCCCAGCTGCTTCTTCTCCTTCATCTTTGCTTCTTTTTCCGAGACGGAAGGAAGATGACACCAAGGCCAGGACTGCTTCGGTGCCTGGGATCCTAGAGGACGACTCTGCGGAGCTGAGCGGCGCCGCGAGGACGCTGCGGCTCGGTGTTATGTTCGGGGTTTGGTACCTTCTGAGCATCTACTTCAACATTTACAACAAGCAGGTTTCTCTCTCTCTCTCTTAAAAAATTGTGTTAACATCACTGGTCTTGGGTTGGTTTAGCATGATGAATACAATCTGTGCACGAGAATATTTCGCAGAGTATACCAGATCATCGACGAGATGTGCATGAAAATTGGTTTATAGAGTGGTTACATTGAACGTACTACAATCACATCACTTAGTGATTAGTATATCGATCTTGTGAACCCATCTTTCTGCACTTTTTTGGTATCATTCACGACAGATGAACAGACGCTCATGTACTCCGGAGAATGCCACTTGAGATTATACCCATTAAAACAAACACTCGTGTAGCCCCACGTTCACTGGAGTTCTAGCACTGAAAGAGCTTGGAGAAAGAGGTCATAACAGTTTTTACAGTAAACCCCCCTTTTCTTTCCGGTGAGAGACAGAGGAAGCTGTGAAAAACATCTGTCTCGAGGGAAGTAATGAAGATTAACATCTTCCCGACGATGCGCGCTTGTCCGGTTTGGATCAGTGCTGCTCATGGGAGGAGTGGTTGCTCCATGTTAGTGCACAAAAAAATTTTCTCACAAGCAGATGAATGCTAGCAGCTAAGTGAAGGAGGGCTTTCCAGAACGGCGGCTGAGTTTCCTTGCATAGGTCGGGGCTATGAAGCTTACCAACAAGAATAATAATGCATGCGGTCCACGGTACGTTACTCGTGCAAAGAGTGACGGGCCATTACTGACCACAAAATTTGCCGGCTGGAACCTTATGACTTGCTTGTCCGGTTTGTCCGGTTCCTGTAATATTACCTTTTAGTTTTATATGCAAACTAAGAAAGAAGGTCGAGAAAATGTCAAATAATTATTATAGTAATAATCACAAGGGAAAAAATCACTAAAAATCCCAAATTGTACTAACTTG